TTCTTTTTTTTTTTTTTTTTTTTTTTTTTTTTTTTTTTTTTTTTTTTTTTTGAAAGATGCTATAAGGCTTTCACGCCCGCATTAAATCAGACAATAACATTAGATAAGGAGTACAAAAAGTAGCGTAGGTAGCACGTTACATTAGCATAGATTTAGGAAAACCCATAAACACCATCACCAAATCAAAATCCTATAGAGATCTGCAAAGGTTCCAGTCTCATCTTAAATTGTTTTTCTAACAATTACACGTTCTACGATAAACGTCAGATACGTTTCTCAAGACAACAGAACGGTACCAGATTGCGCAATCTCCACATATACATCTATTAAATCGTGGACCATACGATACCACATGTTCTGCAAGCAAGAACACTATCGACATGCAAGGAACAGTGTAAACGTGGGACGACGAAATTTTGTGATTCCATAATCTTTTGGATCTTAGAAAGATCTTAGAAAGATTATCGGATAGTCCCAAGTGCGGCATTACAAACATCCAAATATTGAAAAGAAAAAAGAAAAATGAAAACAAGTCGCGGTATAACGAGAACATATTTACTGTTGACTACCCTCGACGATAACACGACTAATAAATAAAAAGGGTTGCTTGCAGAATCACATTACGCTATTACGAAGGATATCTGCACTTGGAAAATAAATACAAGTACGAGTGAGCCATGCAGTAACAGTCTCTTAAAAATGGCTCACCTTCGGCCCCGTCAGTAGCAAACCCCTCATTTGTATCTCAACGTTATTCAAGTCCAACTCCCTTTATTCGATTAATTCTATACGAACACGTGTTTATTTTAAGAGAACGGTAGAAAGTTTCAAAAATTATATCACGACTGACATACCAAGGTAGGCTTCTTATGGATTGAACTTTAAATGTCGCTGGCATTCTTATGAAAACGAAGAAGATTAATCTACGAAGATATCCACAATAAACCACTGCGAACATTAACAATTTGAATTTCAGAAACTTTCCAATAGAACAGTTTTCTTAGGTCTAACATTGAATCGAATCGATGATGTACTTTCTATTGGTTGAACGCAACGTAAACAAATATACATGTAAAATTTTACAATGAGTTGTGTTGATAGAAGAACCCCTTGGTCTATGTTTACATAAAAGATTGTTAGAAAAACAATTTATAAGTAACAATTTATGAAGAGTGTTAAATCACCTGTTAGATTACCATGTAAACCTAAAGCTACACAGCCTATTATCTAAGCAAGCCTGTTTCAGTGTTAGTCCAATGCGAACGAGAAATATTTCTTCCCTCTAACGAAGGACGTTTCTCTAAATAAAAGTATGACAGCTAACGTACCTCCGTGTAATGCCTCAATGCAAGTTAACGTATTTTAAAGCGAAGAAATATTTTTAATGTGCTCCAAAAACTAAAAATATAAATCAATGTTACATAAACACCTCCTCTAACTGTGTGTGAATTAGCATCAAATCATTAATCACTTTACAGTGTGATTCTATGCATGTAACATTAATTTAATGTGCTTAAACAATGTTAGTATACGTACACTGCTGATCTAAAAGAGTGCAGAGTGGAGGAACCATAATACGCGTTACCACTGTAAGTCACCAGATATTTCATTTAACCACATATCCTGTACGGCCGTAAAAGATATTGTACAAAGAAAAAAAGAAATATATGATAATATAATTGTCACCAAATACTACAGATAGAGAACAACCGATAGAGCAAGACAAAGATAAAGGTGTATAGAAGGAGTACTGAATGAAAGGTGGTCATTTGAAACCATATGCAGATAGTTTCTCTATTAAAGATACTCGATTGAACGAATCTATCGTATCTATTGTTTTTTTCAAGATTTTCGTGATAGCTAATTACATTTCATTGCGCTAGTACGAAAGAATAAACTGTCATATAACACTTGATTAGATATTCGCGATATTCGTGACAAGACCACCATTTAGACACGTTTAAAAATGAATCTATTAATTTCAATAGACTTGAATATTAATTTTTTTGCAAATAGTTTGTACGAAGATTTGAAAAAAAAAAATAAATGTTACAGAAAGCTGTTGCAACGTACTAACGACATACCCTCACCTAGATCAATTTTAACTAGTTATAGAGAAAAGCAAAGTCTTTGAAGAACTTTTTATATGTATGTAAAATAGTACCATGTAAACGGTAATCTAAATAGTTAATCCAAAATGCGTGTATTGGATATGGTAAGGGTACAGGTAATCACAATGTAAGCAGTTACATTTAGATCCTCTGAGAGGGTTCCTGGAGATGCTGGGAGGTGGAACAGCAGGAGGCAGGTTGTTCCCCTGAGGAGTTGCAGGTGCCGAACCAGACCCTGCTTGCTTCTGTTTGTCTGAAACAACACTCATTGCTCATATCTTTGAATAATCTGTGCCTCCGAATGGCCCTTTTTTCTTCATCTTGCTGTTTACATATTACTTATATCTATTACGATTTTATTACAGTTTGCACTTTCAGTGGTGTAAATAGCACTCCAGAGGGGCGTTTACTTCATTCAAATGCTAATATATGTAGAATAGAAAGTAAATAGAATTTTAAGATTACTTTTCTCATAGTATAGTCTTTTATATATCTTCCTTTACTATGGAAATTCCTCTAGTTTTAATATTCATTGTTTGTACGAATATGAAAAAAAAAAAAAATGTGTACGTGGTAACCCCCTGGAATACACAATAATTTATAATGTCATCCTCCACCTATTGTTAGATTGTAACGCGCAAGCATTGTAACACAACCACATAAGCATAAAGTCAATAAAATTGTTTTGCATATGCCTAGATTGATAAATCTGTGAACGAGTGCTAAAAATAAATTGAACAAGTGTATACATGTGAACAGTAAAATGATACTGCTGTGGTAAATAAAAATTGCAAAATATATCTACCAAGACATAATGTAACCAACTTTCAAATTCATTCTTTAAATTCTCATTAACGATCAACGATTATTCGTAATTTAAAGTATCGCGGTATTTTAATGACTTTCTTTAATTACTTTCGTTTCTAAATTGCAGACCAATGAAAGAGAATTGTGTCGATACAGAGACACTAATTCGTATATTATGTTAAGGTAGATAGTAACTATTGCAATCAAAAGAGAATAAAATCTTGTAAATTCTGTTCAATTTTAAAAACAAAACCTACCCTGGGAGTTGGACATGAACAGGTTGAGTAGCGAGGTAGTACGGCGGGAAGCCTTGGTGGCTTGTGCATGTGACAGTTCTCTATCCCTTTCATTCAGTCTTTCGTTTTCTTTTTCTTGTACCCTCCCCTTTTCCTCATCCACCTGATTACCCTCCCCCTTTAATCCCTGATCTTTTTTTGAACTGTGAGTGTTACCAGCAACTCCTGTTTCTCCATTAGCTCCTTTTGATGTTTCCTTGGGTGTTTCAACCGTGCTATCCGATTGAGAATGACTGGTCAGGTCTGCCAAATTTGTCATGACTTCTTCATATTCGATCATACCTAATTCATAGAGATATTATACAGAGAATGTTTAGGCGGCTCCCATCCGTGCGTTACAAGACTGTTTACCTGGCTTCTCGAAACCTGTATACTTGCTTTGAACAAACTGTTCTAGTAACTTGTCCACAGTCATGTCCAGACATTGACGTTTAAAATCGATATGGACCTGACCAACTTGTTCATGATTTGTTTGCAAGACATCTGCGTAAATATTTAAAAACTCCTTCATATGTTTCAAGTGAGTCTCCTCTACATCTTGGAACCGCTTAGCAAATAAAAGAACAGATTCATTAGTATTGTTTTCTTCCCGAGAAATCTTGTAAAATAGATAATCTGAACAAATACCCTGCATGCTTGAGTCATTTTGGTTTGAAAATCGTTTCTTATGACCATGTATTTGTCTACCAAAGTTTTATAATCATCCTGTGCCTTTTTAAATTTTATTTCTGCTTTTTCTAATTCTTTCTGGCTGGCATTGTCTTTCCTCAACTTTTCCAATTCCAGACCCTTTTGCATACACATATCTTTCGCTTTGTGCAAAGTCACGGTAATGCTTTGTATACTTTGTACAACTTCCAAGGTGGATGACTCTTCTTCTTTTACCTAGATATCGTTCGTTTTATATTTATTACTACCGAGATATTATTCTTTTTCTTGTAGTGTAAATATAATTGAAAACACAATTACTCATAAAATGACATTAATTAATTAGACATTCTAGATAATTACATTGTTAAATTAATTTAATAAGCATTATGTATATATCTTTGCAAACACTACAGTCTGAGGGAACCTAGCGACCCGACTGTGGGCGGATACTGATAAGGTATGAAATATGTGAAGTGATTCATAATACGACACGATAAATAATTGTAACAAAAATACAAAAAAATTTTAATTGACTCCAAACAAATAAACGAATGTATTTTATTATACAAATTTTCTATGAATGCTAATGTAATCTCTATCATTTTATAAATTAAAATTGGTTTATTCCTAAATATAGAAATTACAAAAGCAGTATTACATACAGCCTTATGTTTTTTATGCAATTCATCTGCATATTTTGATACATCTTTGATTAGTTCGGCGACCCTTTGGGCCATCTGCAAGTGCAAACTTGCAAGTTTTTCTGCTGCACCTCTTAGAGCAGCCCAAACAGGTGCAAATGTTCCTTGGGTACCACTGCTATTACCAACTTGCTTAGCTACCTTGCTAAGAAGCTTGTAATTGTTTTCTTCTATGGCTGATCGTTCTTTCAAAAACTCAGCCAACTCCTTACTTGCGACTACACCATGCTTCATGTTATGATATAACACGTCAAATCCATTATTCTTTTCGCCCTTAAATCATAAAACATGTATTTTCAAAATAATGAAATTGTAATTTCTAATACCTGAGTTTTCATCTCTTAAATGCAAAGTTTGATAGCATACATTCTCTACAGTGTCATTAGTTACAATTGTGTATATTGGTATCAAATTTTAATATAACTTATTTACCTACCAGCAAATAACTGACAAGCATTTATGATTATTGAAACAATGATTTTTGTGTGGAAGAAAAAAAGATTCCATTCGCAATTACAATATCACAACAGAAGGAGATACACTAAAACTGTACTTAAGACCACTTAGCCACTTAACACTTGAACCCTGATCATGCTGTAAACTCATGTAACATAGGACTCTTGAATGACATCTGTACAATAAGCCGTCATTACATATTATTACTCTTGTCAACCCATTGTACATATTACTTGCTACACACAACTCACTGGACTGTACTAACGAAAAACAATAAGTAATTCAAAATAAAAGACTCATTTTTTAACTAAAGAAGTTAAATACTACAATACTTGTTTATTAGATGCAAGTTTCATCATTTCTTATTTAAAATATCAGCATTATTTTCTGTGCGTAATCTTTTATAACCAGAATTTTAGGAGAAGTGAAAGGAAGTAGTAGCTATCTTATCTATACCCTGTTTTTGTCAGGGAGAACAATGTCATGTCTTCCAGAAGATTAAACCATCATAATTATATAGTGATGAACATTTTTATACCATAAAAAGTAGATATGTTATAGTAGTAGGAATTAAACTTACTTAGTAAGGCCACCTATAGCTTTCATTTGCTTCAACGTAAACATACATACAATTAATAGAATCTTATTGGTGCAAGATTTGATCAAAATAACGTTTCCATGTTACTCTGTCAAAGCTAACAATCTTAGTTCTTTCTCGAGGTCCAAACGCATACAATAGAGTACGGCGTTCCTCGGCACTTTCATACGGTGAATCGCAGAGACGACACGAAGATGAGATGACAGGGAGAGGTGAATGCGTAACCTTGCATTCGCGAGAAGAGCGAAGAAGACGAGCGTGCCGCGTAACACGGAGAAAAAGAGACAAACGAGTACGACCATGATAAGGCGCAAGAAAGAGAGAGGAAAAAGCCTTTCATTGAGGGGAATGCGTCGACTTGTACGAGAAATAGTGTTACCGTTGTACGACGTGCAGGAACGGTTACGAGGAGTTTGTCGCGTTTATACGCTCGAGGACGAACGAAAAGGAAAGGACGAGGGGGGTTTGTTCCCGTACATAACCTAAATTCAACGGGATTGACATTCTAGGATAAAATCTGGAAGACACTCACCCAAAAGTAGTCGGCGAAATCCACAGTCATGTTGGAACCGCGATCAGACCATCATAATTTATCTTCTGATGTACCAGGCCACACTGTACCGTTAATAACGAACCATTGACACACACATATACACACACACACAGGGTACCATACACGACGAAACCGTTTGAGCCGTACGACGAGACGTAACTCAATTTACGACAAACCACCAACGTAACGTTTTCGTGCTCGGACGTTTCGAGCAGAACGAGCGCGCTCGACCGCGGAGACACGGGTCAACTTATTTCGTTTATCTCCGTCGTTCGCAGCTCTCTCTCTTCCTCGTAAATGCCGTGTGACGCCATCTTGCCAGCAACGGTCGAAGGCACGAACGGCCACGGTCGATAAAAAAGACGTTCTTTTTCACAACTTGACCAAACGATCCAGATTATGCGGGAATTTCATCTCTGTTCGTGTTTTGCTATTTTCTTTAATCCATATGTTGCGGTATGAGTTGCATCGATGACTTATGAATCCGATCGTGTTACTTCTTGGACTGCAATTTTATATTTGCATGGAAGGATCAGGGTCTAAATTGTTTACAAGCGTAAAGTTGAGATCGAAAGAAGTCGAAACTATTTACACTTCGGCGGAGATGGTCGAAATTTTATTTGAAAAACTAGGTGAATGTGCTCCCAATATTTAAACGGAATTTTTTTTATCGCGGATGTCTAAAGTCCCCGATGTAAGGCCCCGCCGCGCCATATGGTTGGACTGCCCCTCCTCTGAGAGGGCGTGATCACGATACATAATCTGCAGGATACAGGCACTGATAATTAACAATCTAACCTTTATATCTTTTGTTCTCGTTTTGGGAAGGTGGTTTTAGATAATGATAACTCTTGCGTTACCGAGGATGTTCTAAAATCATGACACAACTAAAATACGCGTTACTTGGGAATAGTATCGATCTATGCATGCATTGCAAACGTTTCTAAGGATACCACAGACTAAATTCACTAAAGAGGCGTTGACGATATGAATTTTTCGAGTAATCCTCTTACAAATTAGGAACCGATCGCTTACTTTCGGTAACGCGACCGGAACTTGGCCTACGTTTTCATCGCTGTAGATAACCCTTTCACTTCCCCTCAAAGCATGTTTACAGCGTAAGATATAGTTGAACGATTTACCACGGCGGCGCTACTGGATGCTCAGGGCCGAGCATTTTTTTGGTATCCTAAAAACAGCCCCCATTTTTCCTCGACTTTCTTTTTTGTCTTCAAAATCCGAGCCTTTCGTAATTCCCGTAAAAAGAAACGTACAAGAATTATTAATCAGAATGTAAGCTCGATGTCAGTCCTGAATACCCTCGTGATAACATTACTCTAAATATCATATCCGATGACGCAGATCGTACTATATTTCGCGGGTATTTTACTACCCTTCGAGCTTGCTTACTACCCTTGTTATTTCGTCCGAGGAGAGCGTATTTGAATCGATGACATAATCGATCGATAACGTTAAAAAAAAAAGGAAAGAGAATAGAGAGAACGGGTTAGATAGTAGTTAGTAAAATTCGAAAGGGGCGGCAGTTAGGTAGAGAAAGGTCGGAAGACGGGAGGCGTGGCCTCGTGTAATCAGCTCAGGGTAGTCCAGTGTCCTTGCGCATATCCAGTGGCTATACGCTATACGTTACACATGTACTGTAGCTCACGTGTGTATCCTATATACGGAGAAGAGAGAAGTTCCGAGCGTTATCAATCACTCTCGTCGCTGGACCGAAAGGTGTATTCGTCTCAGCGGCTGTCGACAGGTAGAACGACCCAGTTTCCGTGGATCGAGGATCACGACGATGCCCGCGAACAAGGGGAACCTGTCGACGCCTCATAAAGAAAAACCCGGGAACGGTTTAACCAACGCCGCCGCCAAGAAGAAGAAACGCTGCACCGTTAAGCATAAAAAACATTGCAAGCAATATCTGGTGAGTGAGCCGACACGAAACGTTAATTCCTTGCAAGCGAACGGCCATGTTGCGATCGAGTCGAGAGCGATGCGTGCGTCTCTCTTCTGTGCGAAATATTTCGTGGCTATCTAGATACGAACGCGAATAGATCATCGAGAAACGTTTCTCTAGAATAATTGACTGCGGCTTTTCCTTTTTATTTTCGTTTTTATTCCCTCGCGATAAAAACTAGTACTTCGTTCGTACGATCGTGCGTGAAATTTCGAGAGTCGCGTCATAGAACGGATTAGGTTATGTGGCGCAGACGTCTCGAGTCGAAACACAGTAGGGTTTGTTCACCTTTACCGATGCATGGTCCAAGTGTTACGAGTTGCAACGATCGATCCGGTGCAAGCATGCCTCGGTGCCGGTCACGATGCAATTTTCATTTCAGGTTCCTCCTATGATTTAACGTGCCGCGTCGAAACGACCGAGTAATTTCCATATTTCTCTGGCGTTCGAACATGTATGCGGTGCTCCGATTTTTCCCATTCAACGTGATAAATTATTCATTCGGCGGGAACGATTGGCAAATTCTTATCTCGTAACGATTTGTTTCTCGCCAGTTTCGCGGGGCCGATAGCCTTTCGATCTCGCATTGTATCTTTAATTCGTTCATAGGATTCCACCTCTGTATATATACCTCGTATTTTCTTTCAAGTTTCGACCACCCCACACGCTTTACATTGTCTCGAAATTTTCAATTAATATCCGCAAAGGGCAAATTGATACGAGATAAAGTTCCCTGAATCGGAAACGTCTTGCCACGATGTATTGGGCTGTCTGGAAAGTCCATGCCGATTTTTGGTAGGCGGTACAGGTCTGAATATGTCGGAATGACTGAAAATAAATAACACGTATACATTCCTTGAAAGGTGGAAAAGTTGCGGAACAAAATGGTACATATATAATTCAATAAATATACATGAAAATTCAAATACGCCTTTGAATTTTTCTTAAAAATAGACACGAATTTTCCGGACAACCCAATCTCTGAACCTGAACTCTGAACCTCCGAAGTCCAACTGTATAATGTGACAATATATAAACAACGTTTCTTAAATACATCATTTGAATGTTTTATTTTTTAGGGCCCTTGTTTGACCTAACCCAGACCCGCATTCGAATAACCCCATTCCTTGCAACAATTTAGAGAGTATGTACCAGTCTAGCACCTGTACGAATTCCCATACACGTTACTTGATCAAGCACGTTCGATGTTGCGGATCTTCATTGCTAATTAGAAGAGACACGATACGCACCTACGATATGCACCTACGTTATCAGCGGAAATGGGCAAACCTCTTGTTTAAATAAAAATAACAGTTCGTCGAACGAGCGATCAAACGCAATACGTTTTATTCGTCACTCGTTATCCGAACAAAATTTTGCCCATTTTACGTTGTAACGCGACGGCGAAACAGACGCGAGAAGAATCGACGCGTGTAATCGCGTTTACATCAAAGTCGTGCGTTTTCACGAGCTGTGGAACACGCGATAGACAGGCCTAGCCGTGTATTAGCAACTTAGGAAGCACGTATTGATTTCTAAGAACGCCAAGAAAAAGAGGTTGGTGCTGATTCGGCGAGAACAAAAGACGACACCAATTCCACTTCTGCAGTCCACTTGAACCACTTGGTATTATGTCTCGTAGGCGCAGAAGTTGGCAAAGCCGGTATTGGCTTACCTATCGTGAAAGAAACCGGGGACACCTTCCCTTATTTTTTCTAATTCTATAGAACCGTGTAAATTGCAATCGTAATGGCTCGGTATTCAAAGGGTAATTACGACCGTTCGAAGAATTCTACTCTGAAACTGCTGATGGCTTGATGCGTCGATTGCGATCGACGATTGAAAGTAAAAAGAGACGACGATGCGAGAGGGAACAAAAACAACGGAGAATCGTTAAAAAATATCGAATATAAATGATAAATAAATAAATAAAATACGATGAACATTTTTGGTGCGATCGACACCGACGTGCACCGAGTAACAACGTAATTCATGCAATTCGAGCAGGTGCCGTTCGCGCGAGCAAACGCGACGGCTGCAGCGAACGGAAGCGGAAGTCGAGCGTAACTTATCAACGGTATGTGTGTGCGGTGTACATACGTGCGTGCGGCCGCGTTTAACGCCGCACTTTATTGAACTTTGCGCGCCGTCGTATCATTTCTTCCATTCTCGAATTGGCCCGCCTATTAGCGACGTAATTAAACGCGTTAAACTCGTTACGCGCGACGTTTGATCGATTCTAATTTACCGGTTTTCCAACGGCCGAGGGCGAGTCTGGGGGAAAATTATTTCAAATAATAACGCCGACGTAAACGCTGCGGACGACCGTTACGTAATTGAACGTACACGCAATGACCTAAGCGTTGCCATACTGTACAGGCTGTTTAACAAGCGGCGGGTAGTTTCAGAGAGGAATTCTATCGGAACGAAGTTACGCGACAATTAAAAGTTACGTAACTACGATCGAGATTTCTTTTCACTTTTCAATCTATACGGAAGGTGTGATTAGAGAGAAACAAAAGTTTTAGAGGACTCGTATTATAGAAAACTACGTTTGGAGAATCCTGATCGTGTTTTCGTAGGAGTTTCGTTGTTCCTATTGTTCTTTTGAAAGCGCCGTTGCTCGTCGGGCGAGATAAGTCCCCAGGAAACTTCGGAAACAGCCATTGTCCGTTCGATTACAGTAATTTCTGACGATCGGCGATAAATCCGTGGAAAAAAAAAAATCGGGATAGACGGCGAGACGCTCGACTAAAGATTTTAATTAACCCACTTGCGCCTGCATAGACGTCGGCCCCGGGGCTTGGTTCGTTTTTAACGAGGCGTGGGTGAGATTCCCGCGGAAAGGGAATTAAATCGAGCCGTCGACGTCTCTGCCCTTTGTTAGGTATCATAATGTCCTATAATTTCATTAATTTCCCTCGTCGTCGCTCACTCCCGGTTACCCGCGAAAATTTGCTATCGTCGCGAAACGCTCTTTCGATTAACCGCGGAAATTGGGCCAGTTACCCGTTGCGTAACGTGTAAACAATAATTCGAGCGCTCACCACCGATGAGCAATTTATTCTACGGAGTAATTCTCTTCCCCTTTTCATCGTTAGCCGTACACGTCGCGAGAGGAACGCAAAAAACCGCTCTTATACTTTGCCCGCGGCGATAGCGATAGGCGCATTATTCGTGCAAACTGGTTTTCAACGATCTATAAATTACCAGACGTAATAGGACGACTCTTCGCGCGAAGATCGAACGGATACGTACGGTTACAATTATTTTCATCCGCTGTCGAAGAAGAAAATTATACGTTGGAAACGATAGCTGTGCGCCAGCGCGAGACTTGGCTTCGCAATTCGTTGCATCGAGTTATTTCGAGGAAACAACTTTAAATAAAAATGTACCACTGAAACTGTTCGGTTTCATCTCGTCTTGTTCAATTTGTTTTTTGAATTTCGCGATAATGCCTCGAGTGAAAAAAATTCAATAAAGCCAAACTCTCTTCTGGCCGATGTAAAAAATCACGTGAAAATACTTCTCCTTTTTTCCAAAACACTTTTTTCTCTCATTTCTAACTATCGATGAAATTGTAAAATTAACATCGAAAGATCCGGGAAAGGTGAAATTTTAATAAAAAAAAAAATGTACAGCGCTTTCCTTGAGGACGTCCCGAGCCTGAAATTTTCATAGCAACATTCGTATCTTCGTTTCGTTGGCGAACTACTCTACACGGTCTTGTTAGAAGCATGTCGAGATCCCAGAAACTCGTGCCTGCATACGATAGAACGTCCTCCTATTCTAGCCGCGAATAGTTCGTCGACGGTATATAAAATTCAACGCTTTACCCATTAGCTTGCACGCCACGTCCACGCGGGGTCATGAATATTTATACCAGTAAGGTAAGTATTAATTTCGCATGTCGGCCACACGTTTGTGTTTCTTTGCCGTGGATTCGCCACGCGATGACGTTCCCCGCTATTCCTCGATAATTGCTTATTATAACGCCGTGTTCTCGCACGTACACTCGTGGATTCCGAATCGTAAGGGGCGCCGATCGGAATACGAATCAGAGGCCTTCGTTGCTCGATTGTGTATATCGGGCTGTACTGCAATTATTCGGTCTTTTCAATTACGCGCGTAACAAGTTTATTAACAAAAACAATTCGCGGAATGGAATGTTCACCGTCGTTTAATTCGACCGATCACCGCCTTTTTCACGCGCAGCAAATTGAATTTTCAATGGGAATGTTCGCGTATCGATCAATACCAGTACCGATACTTCGATATCGGACCTTCCGAAACGAAAAGGAGACACTTTATATATTTCCTGTATTTTCCTCGCGTCTTCCTCGGGATTCCATGGTGTCCCCTGCTTGGGTAAACACTGCACGGAAACGTTTCTTTCGAAGCCGATCCATCGAGAACTAATTCGATAATGTATCGCGCATTTCCATAAAATCGATCCATCAGCCAGGATTGGCGCCGATCGCGTGGACTTTCCAGGCACGTTGGAGACGCTTCTCCGTTTCGAGTGCCGCGTATAAATTCGTCGATACGTAAGAGAGAAACGGCGGTTTTTCAGTCCGGAGTGTGGCGGTCGCAGATTTATTGCGCTCTCGTCTTCTCGAAGTATGCGACAGGAAATCGCACGAAAGCCCGTACGCGATGAACAGAAGACAGAGAATTCGGGATTATTTGGGTCACGGTTATGTTATTTAACGCACGCGGTGGAACATCTACGTGCCTACGGCGAACATCGCTGGAAAAGTGGACTTCGGGTCGATGGAAGCTTGCCGGTTCGAATATATGGTTGGCAGGCGTGTCCTTCCAGCCAACGAAAATAAGTGTTTCAGGGATAAGTAGGATATACAACGCGGCGTTACGTAACGCCCCGCGATCGCCCCCTAAAAATAACTCGGACCGCACACCATGTAGATTCCAACACCTACGCGACCTCATCGATCCTTTCAATAAAAAAAAAAGAACAAAACAAAACAAAACAAAAAGATCAACTCGCCAAAGTGCGAATTCTGCCGCTCCGTCGATCGACGCGTTGTAGTCGAATTTGGCCAGTACAAACACGAAACATTTGCACGATCAACACGATACGCCTTTCTAACGATGACGAACATCGCAAATTGATGAACAATGTTTGCTCGCTTGGGTCGTTCTGTCACTGAACGCCCGACCGTTGCACGCGCCCTTTTCGAGTCGACTCTGGAAGGGAACATTGTTCTCTTTCTTCAGCGTGGGACAGATGAAGTAATTAGCCGAAGGGTTGGTAGCCAAAGTCTGACTCTTACCCCGTGCTAGGATATCGCAACACCGGTTTTGATTACGAATCGATACCTCAACGAAAACGTTTAGAAACGCTCGATGGCCCTAATCTTCGGTTAAATCCGAAAAGCAGGGAGCTTTCGGGAACTCGGGTGTACTCGAGGTCTTAACGGCGCGAGCTCGACCCCGCACGATCGGTCATTCTGGGTAAATAATACGCTATACGATTCGGTTTCTATCGATACCGCGTATTTCTCTCTCTGCTGCGAGTAATATCAAAATGATCCACGATGGAACACCCCGAGCGTGTTTCGCTTCTTTTCAATTCGCGCACCGGCCGAATACTCCGTCTGTCCGAAAAATCAGGGCCCCGCCGACCCATATCGGTGGTTGCGTTTCAGAGATTTGCTTCGCGAATTTTCGTGCCAGCGTGTCTAGCTAGCGATTTCGTTTTCAATTGTTCCCATCCGAGGCAACGAGGACGGGAACCGTTTCCCTCGGAATGCCTGTAATTCGCTGGGATACTTCCTTTCGACGCGTCGGAAGATTAGACGTAAGATCTCCGATTTTACTTTTTAACGACTGTTCGCGAACACGAATGCACGTATACGTCACCGTACATCGATTTTCTCGCTATAAAAATGGCAAAGACATGTTCGATAATCAACACGAACACGTGCCAAATTTCAGGACGATCCGACTTGTATTTTCTTTTCCATTGAGAAAATTGGTTTACTTTGACCCATTTTTCGAGGCCTCAAAGCAAGAAGGCCCCCTGTAAAGCTGTTCGAAGCTGATACAGCAGGTGTATCTGTAAATTCGGCAACGTCTACTATGCGTACGCTCCTGTTTAAACGTTAAAGCATCGTTTAAAATCCCCGTCGAATGAAGTAGACTACTCTCGCAACGAACGGCTCGTTTACAGTAGACTGTGAACGTCGTTGGTCAGACAAACTCACCACGCGTCGGTATTCGAGAAGATTCTTTTAACTTTCGTCCAGAGTTTCGACGTTTGCAACACCGCAAAGCGCGCCTATAGCGCGGCCGCAGCCGCGATCGCCGCAGGAAGGTTACCAGCGTCGCGACGCTGGCTCGACATCGTGGCGCCTGCCACGGGAACGGGACGACTAACGACCGAACGACAGAGAAAGATGCACGATCTAGTGCCGCGTAACGTTTGGAAGAGGGGCGTGGTGGGGCGGAAAGTGGATGCAGAAAGAGAGAGAGAGAGAGGGGGGGGGGAAGAAGGGAAGGAAGCGCCTGCGGAGAAACGGGAAAATCGTCGACGAGGAAATTTCACGGTGGAAAATCTCGTCCCGTCTTTGCGCGAGAAAATGGATCGGTAAACATAAAACCGTGGGAGTACCGTCGAGACACGTGGAGCGTCGAAGCTACCAGCGATTTAATTTCGAACGGGGAGACGCGCGGAATCGCCGGAACGGGTCGATCTCGCGACGTTACGAGAGAAAACGAAAAGGATTCGGTCCCTCGCGTGCACCGAGGAGAGTTGAAAGAGTCTCTGGGAAGGTCGCATCGCGGGACAAAGGACGAGGGGTCTGAGAAAAAAAAAAACGACCCGCATCGCTGGCCGAGAGGCACCGGAGAGAATACGGAAAACGTTCGGGAAAGGGAACCGCGACAGACAGGGGTCGAATGATAAGAAATAACCGTCGAAGGTATCTCGAAAGAGTAAGATATCCTCGTAGGCGCGTAAAGACTGGAGAGAAAGTCGCGGTTGAAAAGGCAATTCGGAAATGTACGTACCTGCGGGGAACGTTACAGAAAACGAACGACGGTCCGTGGAGACGAGGGTGGAGAGAAAGAGACCGAGGGGGTTTGTTTCAAAGGGGAACGGAAATCGAAGGGAGACAGAGAAACCCTAAGTGTATCAAGACAGGGACGTTGAAGAGGGAGACAACTGGTTGTATTACACGAGCGGCTACAAAGAAGACGGAGAATGAGTCGGCGAGGGGTGGGTGGGGGGGAGAGGGGTAGAAATCGAAGGGAACGATAGAGGGGAATACTCGATCAAGCAAAGGAAAGAAAACTTGGGAAAGAGAAGGTTGGTCGTAAGGGTGTATCCGGCAGCGTGTTGTACTTCCATGGGACTAAAAATAAAACGGGATTCGAGGGTTCTATCCAAAAAAAAAGAGAAAAAAAATAGACGAACGTTTAACACTTTTACATTCCCCTTATTACAAATTTCTAGGGGCACCGTTTCGATCTTAGGCAAATGGCACGCTACGATCGAATAAAAGAAAGAGTTATGAAACTATACAGTCTGGCAAAGTAAAGGATAAACAATAGCTTATCTTTTACTCGCCCCACGTTACTGCGTCCCCGAGTGCAGCTTTCTTGAGGAATCGCGAGCGGAGGGTTCGCGGCCGCGAAGGCATCGAAGACGCATAGAGGAGAGACACAGCCGAAGAAGAGGATCGCGAGGATCGCGAAAAAGAGGCGGAGTGTCGAAGATTCGATACGAGGAGGGAGGGCAGACAGAAGGAAAGAGGGAATTCAGCGGGAAAGACGGTGGAAAACCGAGAAGGAGAGGCTTGAGGGATGAAAGAGGGAGAGAGAGAAAGGTGAACAGGGAGTAACGTTGCGGACTATCGACCCGATCCGGTCGGGCGCCTGCGCTCTGGCAACCCCTTCTACCGACGAGGCGTCTTGCCGGCGACGCGGCGCTCTACGCAACGTCGTCGGTGGGATCGGTGCGACGGTGGGACCAGTGCCTCTCACGATTCCGTTCTCGCTCTGCCCTCCGTCTCGTCATTCCGTTCGTATACGCGTCCGAGTGTTACTTCCTATCGCCGCCGTCGATATATAGATCTCTCTTTCATACACGAGTCGCTGCACGTTCACCGGGGAGACGCAGGCACGGAGACAGAGATAGGGGAGACAGTGTGTCGGTGCACAGAGTTTAAAACGCCGGGTACGTGTTCCCCGAAACTTCATTTACGTGGTCGCCGCGTGCGTCGTAGAAGAGAGACAAGCTCTAAAAACGTTTTCTCCTCGGTGGCACACGCACACCCACGCACCGATAACTACGCGCGAGAGATCGCCTCTCCGGATGCGGTGAATTTCAGCCGGTGAACGCGCCGCCGGGCCACACACCGCTGGCTCCCACCGATCCACGTACGATTCCTTCGATTTCGAAGATCAAAGGCAAGAGAGAGAGTGAAAGTTCGCCGATCTTCGAGGAAAAGGAAGAGGCTCGCGCCCGGCCAGGAAGCCAGCGGAAAATCCTGACGACGGACAGGATGGAGTGGTAGGCCTTCGAAGACGGCCCGCCCCTTCCTTCACTTCCCCGGTGTCTCGTCTTCTTCTCCTTCTTCTTTCGTGTCCCGCGACCTGCTCGATCATCTGTCCTCCTCTACCCTCTCGCCCTTTGCTCGCGTACTTCTAGATGACTTATCGCGGCGAACTCTGACGTAACCTTCGACGAAGGTGTCGCGCACACGGTCCCTCTTCACCTTTCGCGACTCGTCCTTGATTTCCGTTTCGCGACTCGACCCTCCTTCGACACGTTCTCCCTCGATTTTTGATGACGTTCGCTACTGGGTTCTCTAACGACGCTCCAGGACGTGGCATTTCACGTTCGGCCATCCGAGGAACCCCGTGAGTCACCCTTCGAACGTCCTCTGACCTTCGACATCGAGCGCGAATACAGGGTGTTCCAGCGAGCAAAGTCCAGCTACAATAGAGCCACTATTTTCTTTTAATCGGGAATCGTAGCGTCGTAAGTAAGAGGAAATAATTTTCTTTATTTTTCATCGACTCTGACTTAAACCGCCGCGATTCTCGTTACGATTGTTTTCCGAATAAAGACGAGCTCTGAGGCTAATTGCGTTAATTACCCGGAATGCAGTCACGTTGCCGCATACGGAGATGCGCCGGGCATTTACGATCGGTCGAGCGCACGCATATCCGACAGCTTTTCGAAATTGTTTTCCCGACGATGGAAAGTCGTGCAAACGAATTCTATTCCTGTGCGGCCTCCTCGCGATTGTACTACGATTCATGGGACATCCTGTATCCCCGATATCTTCCGCGCGATCCCTGACAACTTAACCCTTCGCGTTTCCATCGCCTTCGACGTATCGACTGCCCAGCCATTCGCGAGCAAAATTTATTTTTCCAGCGAATCGGTGACTCGACTTGTCCGAGGCTAGTCGTGCAGCACTTATTCCTTTGACCTAATCAAAATTCATGCAGTCCTATATAGATATTCTATTACCTCGCGAATTCACGCGTTGACCTGGCAGTTCGTACGTTAATCAAGGGTCTTGGTTATCCGTAAACTAATCTCGAATTGCCTCGAATGAAACTCCCATGCATCCGTTATTCCACCGGACGAGCAAATAACGTGAATCGTGTACGCAATTATAGTTGGTCGAGTGAAAACAATCTCGGAAAGCTCCGAATAAAATACACTCCGATCGTAACGTTTTAGAAGAGTAAGGTGCAATTCAAGTTTCAAAGCTGTTTCCCTTTCGGAAGCAATATTTCCTTTTTAAAAGCAATTTCTACGTTCGTTTGCTACTCGATTCGACCGGACCTTCAAAAGCGAAGGCGGTTAACGAATTTTTGCTGCACAATAGAGCCACCGTCGCGTTCCAACAGTGGAGCAGACGCACCACGAGTGCAAAGGGTTAAAGTCCCGCTAAGGCTGCACCCTCTGACGAGAGGTGTACTCCTATCCCGTGTCGCCACTCACGTTATTTCTCTCTTTTTATCATTCTCTCGTTACGACACCATCCACGCTCGCGACGCGTATACCGGCGCTGCGTGTTCACGCGCGCGCGTATACATCCCGTCCTCGTGCACACTGCTGTACACCCTCACGTTATACACACGCACACATCGTACCACACAGAGGGAGAGCAAGCCGGACGCCCGAAGAACGCTCGCGAATACTACCTTGAAGGGAGGAGAGAGGAGCAGGTGAAGAAGGAAGGGGAGGAGGAGTTTGAAGGTGGTTAATGGTGGAAGTGGCGGATAAAAAGGAGCGGAAGTGAAGCAAGTGTAGCCGCGTCCACGACGCCGGGGAGCCACGTCCTCGGGAGGAGATCAACCTGGCCTGACGACCGTGCCCGTCGTCCGAACGGCCCCGTCGCTACTACAGCGGCTGTGTGTCACTACTGTTCCACTGCCCCACACACCGCGGCCTCATGATTGGTTCATTCTGGAACCTCTGTCGTGCGTGCCCTTCAATGCCGATTGACAAGGTGAGACAGAGACAAAACCGGTCGAAAGATCGTTGCGCGTCGTTCGATCCCGGATAGGATTTCAGGGAGGACAACCGATAGGATGATCCTTCCTTTGAAACCCTTTCGAGCTGTATGCATTTAAAACAACGAGCCACTTGCGAACGAGTATCTTACCCTGAGCGAGTACCTTGAAGTAGAATTAAGTATCGTTCGAAAGTTCTTGGCCCCAACTTGCGCCTTCTACAAGTCGCTCCTCCGCGATTAGCCTCTGTTAGAATTTCATCGACTTGAACGTATTTAACGTAGGCCTGTAACAAGATTGGTTGGCAAGAATCGAGTTCTTTAGTTCCTGCAAATTGTCATTGCGATTGAATTTTCTAAAGCATAAAGAATGCAATGAAAAGGGATGATGCATGTTTTTTTAAAGGGTATATTACATGGGTATATGTAGACCTGTGTGATTGACTGAAATAACGTGCACTTGACCTACAGAATTTTTCGATCACGAGACGTAAATAAATAGAGAATGTATTCTCTAATTAACAAGATGAGTCAGCTCACTTCGAGCGGTTCGAAACAGTTATTCGCGTCCATGGAACTGTCTATGCGAATTATGACGTGTTCCATCGTTTCGATAGGTCTCTCGTCCCGTTCTTAGAGTATTGTCTCGATCCAGGATATCGAGTGCTCTCTTGCGAGCTGTCCATTTCATCGAATCGTTTAGTTCTTACAAAATCCGTGGATACTAGGTCGAGAGTATCGAAGGCACCAAGTGTCAGGTCCCAGTAATGTACGTGATCGAGATGAAATTGGACGTTTTTTCTTTCAATGCAGTATTTAACGTCGTCCGGTTCTCTATAATAAATGCCCGCACGGTCTGACCATAGCCCAGGAGTTCGAAGTAGATTGCTCTTTTCACGTTCAGCCAGACGCACGATAAAATCCTCTTCGGTCCCAAGTAAAATTCTCGACCCGCGTCGTCAGTGTCTCTTTTCGTTGTCTTTCTCTCCACACTTTTCCGCTTCTACAACAGTCTGTTCTTGTATAACAAAGATATGTAAGACGTCAGGGAAAGGAGGCGGACGTGTGACAGTACTCGAACGAATTGTAGGCACGTTTAACGCGTATTATCATTCAAAACAAAGCATTTAGCACGCAACACTCAACAAACATACGATAAGGAAAACATAAAAGTCGAAACTCCGCCGACGTGACCGGCCTCGAGGCCGAGAAGTTCGACGAGAAGTATCGAGAACCGTTTCCCAGTGTTACCAGCTAGTACAGAACGATTTCTCCTGGCGCGAGTTAAGAAACCCCTAAATTTTATTTCAAACAGAAGCATTCTATCGTTCGATAAAGTTATTCTTGTAATAAAAACGACAATCGGAATTACGCAATCAAATTACGTTTCACGCTGAACGAACGGAAGTTTGCTCGAGCAAACGTTCAATGAAACGAACGCCGCGAATAAATCACCGCGGAATTTTTATCCGTCATCCATTATTCGCGTAAAATGCCCATCGCTGTCGCTGAACACAGTTCATCGTTGACGGTTTTCTTGGGAACCATTGCCAAGTTTGGACGTTTCTTCAACTTCTTGCACGCGACGACGAACCGTGCCAATGGAACGAATTCGATCCTTGTGCGCCTTCTTATATCGTCAAGTGTGTTTCTATGTCTAGCCAAAGCCTGGAGCTTCGGCGGAGTATCGGAGAATTTGAGACAGTTTGAAATAGAGACCACTGCTTATGGAATTATCCGTTTGCGATGGTATCTCCACGGAGGTCTTAACGACGACACGATTTGTCTACTACTGGGGGATCTCTAGAGAGTATTTCCAATAATGTTGCGAACGATATCGATAATAGGATTGTCTCAGTTGTTTGGATCGGTCGATAGCTTCGCGAGAAGTTTAGCTGAAAGAAATGTTTTTGCGCTACTTTTGAAAGAAAGGAGCTCACAAAGTAAATCGCACGAATGTTTCGACTGGTTCTTGGCTTGTATACAATTTTTCATTGCTTTTTGTTTCGTTGTTATTGCACGATCGATCCATTCTTGGATGGGCTGTAGTTTGCTGATACACCTTGCGTTGAGGGAGGGTCGGGATCGTACGATACAACTTTATCCAGATATCACGATCCTTGTCGATGAGACTCTCGTGTAAGGGTACGTGGCCGAGAGTCGAAATACCCAGTGGCGTTGTCGCCGGCGTTCGGAAAGTAAGCGCTTCCTGAGCTTTTCCTCTTCGATTTCGTGAGTTTGCTATTCAGATCCCCGCCGAGGCTGGTTATATACACTTTATATCTCGGTACTCGGATATTATCTGTGTATTGGAGTCCCTATGTACGACAGAGATTTAGCCGAGGGGGATTTGTGGCTTTATTGGATGAGGGAGAAAAGTTTGGCTAGCACTCGAGCTTGACAATCCATTGTCTTCCTAATCGAGACGGCTCGAAGCTCGATAGCGTGCCTTCCTATAGCCAACCGAGGCTTTCGACGTTAAAAACCTCAAAATAACGCGATTCGAATAGCGCTCGTTGTACAGAATGCAAAACGGAATTTCAATCGCTTTCGATCGTTGACTCGTGTCGCGTTGTATCGTCGCGTACCGTTCGTACCGGCGAAATCTCTCGACGAAATTGGCTTTGTCTCGTCGAGCCAGTTTCCGTCAGGTTTTCGGCGCGTTTACACCTACGTACGAAGAACGAGCGCATTCTTTGCATTTGTCGTTACAGCAATCGATGTTTCTCGATAGCGACGAGCATTAGTCGTTAACGCGACGCGAAATCCTGACGAAATAATCTTTTTCGAAAATCCCGATTAATAAAACTGGCATCCGTCCAAAGAACATTTCTCCTAGGTCTCCCGTGTAGTTTTGTTTGAGGCGTCTTCGCAGCTTCATCGATCCTTTCCTCCGATGCCGAGCACCTTTTATACGTCTCCGGCCGAGACGACACGTGTCTCCGCAACGCGGCAGCGTTATCGTCGTCGATGGTCTCGGCGTTATTGGTTGATCGACGGCAGAGCTACCGGGTATTCCATACGTTCGAGTAATGCTTCGAGCAATGAGAATTTTCAGTCGGAAAATCCGTCGTACGGAAGCGTTTACTTAGATGGACAGTTCAATCGAATATACGTCACGAACGAAGCGTTGCGCTATCGCGTAGGTTTCGTTAAAAATAATCTAAAGGATCGTCAATTTTTCAACGAGATCCCCCTCCCGAGATCGCTATCTACCGTTTCCTCGTATTTTCTTTCCCAACACGCCGCGTCTGTATCGGCCAGGAACTTTGCGACTTCCGCACGAATCCGTCGCCGGTATGTTCCGAGGTACACGTTCGCAGGCACACGTACGTGAATACCTGGGAATTCGGTGTGCAGCCAGTGGCTGGTTCGATTTTCCAGCCGGAGAAGGTTGGTTCGCTTGTGCATGGAAGTTTCTTGCCCGCCGGTGGCTCCGAGACGACGGTTTCTTTCGCGGGACTATCGGCTAACGCTACGGAATTTTTGCAACCGAGAGAGCCAATATCGACTTCACCCCTCGAGGCGGTTTCTTCGTCGCCGCCGCCGCGCCGGTTCCGCTTGCAAATCGCGTAGACGTTCGATAAGTAATTCCGTATTACGGATTATCGGTTACTCTACCGAGAAGGAGGAACCAATCATCCGCGTGCACATTGTTGGCTCCGAACAATGCGAACGTTGGACATTGATCGACGAGGTCGCGTCAGCGTCGGGAAATTATTTCGTGAATTTATTTTGCTCCGGTGACGCAGCCAACGAATTAACAAAACGGCGTGTAACTAAACATTAACGGAAACGAATACGCGTGAGACTTTATTAGAAAAGATGGTCTCGTTTATTTTGTCAGCTCGCGTACAATTCAACTCGCTTTAAAGTTCATTTAGAACTCTGTTATTTTCGAGGAATCGATAGGAAAATGCATATCGACGAACACAGGGCGATCGCTTCCTCTTCCACTGCTTCGACCGCTCCAAGCGGTGCGATTCGAATATTAATATAATAATAACGATTCGCACGGAACGCGGCGAGATTCGTACATTCGCCGAATAATTCGTCGTTTAATCGGTGGTATTCGTGCTTGAAAAAATTATGCACACCGGCTGGCTTATTCTCGTGGTCGCACGGTTCGTTGAGTTCCCGTGATTTTTAGGCGCTCTCCTTTTTTCTCTGAAGGTTTCTTTTATAGTTTCCCCGGGGAATAAAGGTGACACTCGTGGAACGCGATGCTCGACCTTCACGGTTTCGTGGATTAATTCGCGAGCAAGGGCTGAGAGGGAATCGGTTGTTCGCGTTGCGGTTTACCTTAAGCCACGGCTCGTAAATCTCTGTGCCGGAGAATTGGCGTGTTCTCGTCGACGGGCTCGTGCCGCATTCGACTCCGTTCCATCGCATTTTAGCGCGACGGAGAGTGCTCGAACAACGCACGCGGAGGTGTCAGGAATGCGTGTCTCTCCTATGCCATCGGTCGTTGGAATGGCAAGCAGAATTCGTTTATTACTACGAAGGATGTCGAGAACGTTTAACAGCGGCGATCGCGACGCAGGCGAAAGCTCCGTCCATTATTATGCAGATGAAAACGAAATCGATCCGGTAGAAATACGGAAAAATACGGGAACTTAACTTGCTTTTTAGTACTCGTCGAAATTAAGCTACGACTTGTCCCGGTTTCTCGAACCACCCTGTACATACCGTCGCTTGACGGAAACTTTCGCAACGTCGTTCGTAATAACAATAAACGAATTACGCTCGTCATTCCGTCGACCAATGGCACAAAGCGACACTTACCAGATATTTACAGGGAACTTGTTCCAGCGAGACAGAACGCTCGGCATAATCCGCAGACCGAATTACGAAGACGCATTCAAAACTCCGCGTAACGCCACGAAATGTTTGCGCACTTTTCGTATTCTCTGAATATTCATCCCGTGGAAATCCAGCGCGGTACCGCCCGCTGTTGAAACGGTAAAAAAAAAAGCGATTAGCTCTATTTAGCGAGA